TAGTCCTATTTTCCCACAAACTCAGGAATCTTCATATTATGTCCTATTTTTACAGCAACATCAATTATTAATATGTATACTTTTGCTGACAGAGGACCACACTAAAAATGTGAGTTTCGTTATCCAGTTCTGGGTCATTAACTGTGAAAAGCTTGTAAATATAATGGTTTATTCACATGGGAAGCCTTCATTAAGATGCATTATTCTACAACTGATGTGGCAGCGTTGCATTATCAAGTTCACTGTCTCCATCTAATATTTGTAATTTGTTTCTAAATGAGTTGCTGTTTGTAGGGCAAGTTAACAAATTTGAATTTCACATGGCCAGGGAAATTTCTTAAAGATGGGAAAATGCTTCTTCCCCCCAAGGAAAAGCCATTTATTAGCATCTTCCTGGAGAATGCCTCCCTTTGATTCAGAAGCAGGAACATTAGAGGCACCGAGAGAAGGGACATTAGAAATAAATTGGCTTTTGTCTTCCTTCAGTGCACATTGGAGGGCTATGGAARCACACCCAGGATAACTCCAGAGCTCCAGAAGAGCCGTGTGGACACTTGGAAACTGTTCCATGATGCTGCAAAGCACAGGTCAAAGGCTGGCCAGCAGGGAAGCRTTCCTGCTGGAGATGTTGGAATTCATCCTCTCTTTTGGCAATCTCCTGCCGCTTCACTTCCTATTCCCTCCTGCAGTTTCAGGTAGCCAAAGCTTTTTCAGACCTGCTTTCTTCTGATTTCTGCTCGTTGGCGAAAGAACAGAACCCCCAGCAGGGCTGTTGGAGGGATTCTGTCTCTTTTTGAAGAAGATGAACATGAGGCCCTGGGTTGTGCAGTTGGCTCCTCATTCCTGAGACAGAGCTAGGAAGGAGTTAAACTCTGAAGCTGGTGAGGTTTAGGGTGACACATACTTCTGTGGTGAGGTCAAGAACACTGTGGACAAAATAAAACAAGTTTAACAGAGTGGCTTTCTTCAGCTGCAAAGCAGGGAGGTGTCACCTGTGCTATTCATAGCTTTTTTTTTTTATTATTTTCAAGTGTTTTTAATAGATTAAGATATTTCATATCATTAGGTTTTTGAGGACTCTGCTTTCTTTCCTCATTTTGTCTTTTACTCAACAGAATAAAAGCATTTTCTATGAAAACACTTGGCAAATGGAAGAGAATGCCAGATAAAACAATGGTACAATTGCATCCTCTGGACGTCTTGAGCAGCTCCCGCTGCTCAAGTGTTTATTTTTAGGTTATGTTGCTAAATTCACTTCTACACTTTTGTCTAATTCATCTTCTTACTTCTCATCTTTTTCCCTCCCTGCCTGATCAATKGATTCCTCTCCTTGAGCATCCACATGCTTGGATCAGTTCTCACAGTCCAAGGAAGCCGTTTTTAACACAGTCCCCATTTTACTTGTTAGCCCACGTACACATAAATTCTTTTGATGTCTCCTCATCCTTGTTTTCCTCAAATCCATTCATTTTTTGTTGGCATAACTGTATTGATTCCAATGCTTTCAGKGATCAGGAGGACTGGGGAAAAAGAAGGACAGCACTGCCTTATCAACTTGTCCTGATCTCTTTCATACCTTTTTTCAGGGAAATATTGAAGGTAAATGGCTGGAGTCTTGTTCTAGAAATAATTTTCATTTCTACCATTTCCTTSTAGTAAAACAGACCCTGGAAAAAGAGAATGGAAATAAATACAAAGGGTGAATACAATAGAGCTTCTCCTAAGCTGTTCTGCAGGTTTATGTCTGTACTTCAGCCCTAGTGCTGAGCACAGCTCATGCACTGCTATCAGCAGATGTATTGATAACTCARTGGTGCTCAGACAGGGAGCTGCATAAATATTTACTCAGGACTCAGCTGGGTTTTGCCAGCCAGAACATATTCCATGGCCTTGCTGTTATCAGCATCTGAGCCAGCTGGTTCAGAGCTCCCTGGGCTCAGATATGGGCTGTAGTAATTCACTTTTTGAGATAAGWATTTCCTACTGCTGGTCTTACATTGGCACCTTCTTGCCAGTTCAAACAGCTCTTACCTTGTCTGGCTTTGGGGTCAGTGAATAGAAGGCTGAATAAATTCACAGTGAGAGAAGCTGATCACCCAAAACTCCCTCAAGATGCAGTGGAGAGCAGCTCYGAGGAGCTGAGGATGGCCAGGAGGAGCTCTGCTGTCTGTGCTGCTGCTTCCCACGTTGGTCTGGTCCCATTGGCCACCACTTCCCTTGCTCCTTGGCTGGCTGGTTCACCTGGTTATAGTGGGAAACAAGTGATTTGAGAAGGTGGGAGAAGAGGAAAAGGCAAAAGGGGTTATTTTCCACTTTTTGGGGGGCTGAACTGCGGGGTCAGGTGAGTGCCAGAGACTGAGCAGAAGAAGGGAAAAAGCAGCAGTTCAGGTGGAGCAGGAGCTGACCCCGATGCCTTAATCCAGCTCCCTAAAACAGAGGCTGGACAAAATAGAGAGAATAAAAATCAGTTCTGTTTATGGCAGGACCTTTAGGTGCATTCAGGGCAGTCCCACACCCACAATGGACAATGGCTCACGGGTTTTTCACCCTTTCTCACTTTTGTCCATTTGCACATCGGGGTTGAATCCTCCAATTGCAGCTGCAGCCAATGCAGTCATTCACTCCAACTTGGCTCCCCCCAATTCTCTGTTGTTTCCATCTCTTGGGGCCTGGCCCAGGGAGGTGTCTTTGAGTTTGGGGCTGCAGAGGAATTGTTTTGTGTAAAAATGGGAGAGCAGGAGCTCAGCACTGTCTGTGGAATCTGGAGTCAAACAMTGAAGAATGACAGGGTTACAGAGACATGGAAATAGAGAAGTTGAAATCCTAAGGCATCAGTGGGAGGAGAGGAAAAGACRAAAGGGATTATTTTCCAGTTTTTAGGGAGCTGAAGTGGTTCACTGCAGGGTCAGATGAGTTCCAGAGCCTCAAGCAAGWGAAGGGAGGGAGCAATAGTTCAGGTGGAGCAGGAGCTGACCCTTCCCAGCATCAATGAACTGCTCACCTGGTGCCATCTCACCTTTAAACGTTTTCAACCCATCTCATGTTCAGGTTGTGCTGGAGAGGAGCCTGTCTCTCTCCACCAGCCATGCATCAGCCTCCTGAAAGCTGCAGATATCCTCGTGCCCATTTGACGGGAATTTCTCAGGAAAGCAGTCTCCTGAGGATGGCTGAGGGAGACAAATGCAGGAGTTGTTTCTGGATCTCAGTGTGCAAAAGAGGCTTCTTCTGATTTCCAAAGGAGCCCCTGAGAGAGCAGCATCACATCTGGCTGTCCTGGGCTCCATTTCACATCAGCAAGGCAGACAGTGGTGAAACACAAATAAACACTGTTTATAGTAGCCCTGTTGTACTTATAAATAGGTGCTGCTGAGGGGGGAGATTGGAAACACTCGGGTTCCCTGGAAGTGGAATTGAGCAAAGGTAAAATCTCAGGGCAAAAGGCAGCACTCAGGGTCACATATTCAGGAAGGGAATATGTGCAGCCACCTTTCAAAACCACACTGCTGCTCTTATTTCCTCCTGAATATTTTCTCCCTGGTGGCCTTGACCGATTCCTGCAGCCCGGTGCGAGTCACACATCCCAGATGCAGGGCARGCAGTAAATTGCTTTCCTGAATGGGGCCTCTGTGCTTGCTTTGGACTCTGTGGGATCCCTCTGGGTGCTCGCTGAAACCAAATTTGCTTGGCACTGTTTAGTGATTTTTGGAACCTAGTTGGAAGCATGGAAAAACAGGGAATAGCAGATCTTAAATATGAGCTGGCCAAAGCTTTGACATAACCTTTTGTGTTTGCGGGAGGCCTCTGGAGCTGGAYTTGAAGCTAAATACAGAAAATACATCACCAGAGAAAGAAGAATGCATTACTAAATTAGTCTGAGATGTGCCAGTTAAGGACAAATTCTATAGATTCTGAAGTTAAAGGTCAGAGCAAAAATTTTTTTAATGCAAACCAATAGCTTTTGTTCACATATGCTGCCACCTATATGTCAGTCACTAACTTTCAAAAGTAATAAAAACATACTACAAAGCCAGATTGTTGTATTTTCTCCCCCTTTCCCATCTTAAATTGGCCATAAACCATCACACAATATGATTAATAATTCCCAAGTATGCGGAAAACAATTTGTTCTAGAATTAAAAAAACCAAACCCTAAAACCACAAAGCCACTCCACAAGTTAATTTTTAAAATAGATTCTTCTCCACACTTACAAGCTCATGAAACATGGGACCATCTTAACTTTATCAATGATTGCAAGCTGAAAAATGCAAAATTTCAGCCCACCCACACAGATGGGTTTTTTCATGCTTCTGTATTTGAATACCAGAAAGACTTTCATTTTTTGCCCTCAAACTACATGTGTAAAATCAATCACTGAGCAGAAATTATTGTAAACCTTGAAACTGGCTTAGAAGCTCTTCTTGCTAAGGTTATCGAATCATGGGAAACTTGGGGAACTGTAATTTTTATTACARTGTTGGGGGGGTTGTTTATTCCTTTTTTATTGTTGTTGTTGTTGTTGTTCCTCAAGGGAAGTTGATTTCCTAAAGGAGCCTGACCAGCTGCAACAAAATACCAGGAAACCACTGACCAAGCAGCGCATATAAAAATTGCAGCGTGCAAATTAAAAACAACACTGGCTAATTAAAAAGTACCGATGGGAAGTCCAGACATTTGAAAATTCAATTAAAAAATTCTCTGGCACTGTTGTGACATGGATAAAGCTGGCATTTGCACAACAGCGGCTTTCTCACCTGTCTCGTTGAGATCCCACGCTGCAAAGGTTGTTTTTGTACATTGCAATATTGTTAATTAATACTGAAATACCAACAATAGACCATTGTGTGCATCCAGGCACTTTTTATGAGCACAGGGGTGGTTTTTTTCCTGGCTTCCTGCAAGTAAATTAAGGCTTAAGCTTGGATTCACTGTCAACCTGGCATTCCAGTAAATATTAAGTTTCTTTTCCTTCATACCTTTTATTTTCTCTTCTCATTTTCAGAGCCTGCCTCCTGACATAGAGGCAAGGAGAATTCCACAGATAGGTGCTGGGAAAGCAAAAATCATGCAAGCTGAAGCCCAGGAGAGAAAGGAGCTATGCTTCAAGGAACAGCTGAAAGAAACAGAGGGGCCCCACATCAAGGAAACCTTCCAGGATGAGATCAGCCAGTGCTTCATCGAGAACCGGTGAGCAGAGAGAAAACATTTACACCTTTCTAAGTTCATTTTAACCCCAAACAGCCTGAGTTTCAGTTCCTACAGAGTCTTTAAGGCCAGTCCCAGATGAGAAGTWAGCTCCTGAGCTGCAAGATTCCAGCCTGGGCAGGGGTCAGAGGTGCTGYTTCAACCTCTGCCTGTGGATAAAATCCACAAACATTGGGCTGGGGACACCTTCACTCTGCACATCACCTCAGGCTCAGCCTTTGGAATTTTAAGCAGCACGCCCTGAACTCGAGCAACAATGACTTTTCTCCCTGCTTTGAATACAGAAGGTTTAAGAGGGAGAGCTCACTCTTGCATGAGATGGAAGGGCCATTATTTGCCATAGCAAATCACGTCACGTCACTGGGACTGCCATCCAGGTGCCTGCTGCTGGTATTACGTGCACCTGAAGCATTTTTGTACTTCAGGCCTGACCTTGGAGCCACTCCTCCAAATGTAACTTTACTCTGCTGAGCTCAGTGGAATTTCACATCTCACTAGAGTTAAGCACATACTTACAGTTTTAAACCGAGTGCTGACACTTACGGCTYTCTTGATGYCTAAAATAAGGCTCACCTGAAACAGAGRCCAGACAAAGTTATGASAATAAAAGCAGAAAAATTTAATCCAGGCCTACTGGTACATTAATGGCAGACAGAACCTCCTCCTGAGGCTACACCCAAAATGGGTCCTGAGTCATGAGATCGTCACCTTTTATAAGTTCTGTCTGATGAACACATTGGACCCCAATTCTCCAACGACACCTTCAGATGATAATGTCAATCACCCCAAGCTTGCTCCCCCAATTTACATATTTTGGGGCTCTGAGGCAGCGAAGTATCCTTGGATTTTAGGCCCAGAGAGGAATTGTTTTGTCTAAAGATATGGGAACATCTTTAGTGCTGTACAATAAAGAAGATACTTGAAAWTATAGAAGCTAAAAATTCTAAAGCATCACTTCCATGAAGTGTACTTCAGCCCAAGAAGTTTCGAGACTGGCAGTTCTGACACCCTTGTCCTAAGGAACATAGGTTGGTTTTATCATTTCATTTCATCATTTTCTGGGATTTACCCCATCCAGCTGATTARGATGCAAGAGAAACTTGGGAAGCAGCACCCAAAACTCCCTGGATTTAGCAGCAAGGYTTCATTTGCTCTGCATAACGTTGCTCTGCAGACTCTTTTTGTGCCTCAAGCTGTTCAGGGATGTTACAGGGCTCGTGTTTGTCATGTGGACCAGTGTCACGTCCATTAATCATTCAGTGTTTGCTCAGGGTACTGGCCTTGCCTTCAGCATGCAGTTTCCAGTTGGAAACACAAATGCAATCTGATGAAATCCTGCTCTGTTTATTCCTCAAGTCCCTCAATCAGGTTTGGGTAGCTGTGCTGCAGTGAAGTGTTTGTTAAAAAAGAAGGAATGAACAAAAAYAGCACTCTCACAGTTCTGCCACAACCTATTTTTCTTTTTTCTTGCACTTTTATAGACACTCAAGGCTACTCCAGTGTGTTTTTACACTCCTTTAAAAGAGCTGCTGGTTTTACAAAGCTCATTTATTGCAAAGCACTTTGCCATTCCCTTAATGAACCGTCTCCCAGGGCCTGCTCTGCACACTCCTTGAACTGCCATTTCCTGCCATTCCCCACAGCTCCCAGCATGTTCTGAGCTACAGAAAGATCTTATTCCCTTGGATTAATATTCCTCACCTGATAATCATCCTCCACCACAGGTCAATYGTGTCCAATTGGCTCTGGAGCTGGGGGACAACTGCCTGAAACACTGCAGGAACCGATGGCAATGTTTCTGTAGGAGATTAGCAGAGAACAGGCAATCTCCCAGAGAACCARGCTGCGCCATAAACCTCTTCAAAGACATTATGAGACACTGTTAAAAATTAAATCTGTTCCACAGAGACTCTTAGCAGCAGAGCCAACCAGCAGCCTGGATCGTTTGAGGGAGCTGAAGCCGTGGTTCAGTGGAGGGAGGTGGAGAGGGATGGCTGAGGGGGCAGTTCATCACAACTCACTCTGCCTAGTCAGGTTCAGTGCTCTTGAATCTCATCTTGACTTGAAAATTAATACTCACATGGGGTAAGGTGGGGTGTAAATACTGAGCTTTCTTTTTGTAGCCCCTACAAGTGGAATGGGACTTCCTTTCTACATTGATATCTCAGCTTTAGGTGAGACTCAAGGAGCCCCAGCACATGAATACCTGATTAAAAAAGATCTAAAGGTTCTTTAGCTCCCCTTTTCTGCTCTGCCTAGTCAGGTTCGGTATCTCGAATCTCATCTTGACTTGAAAATTTACAAAGATTAAAGCAGGTGATGAGATGAGCAGCACATTAACTGATCTTGGATAGCTTTATGGATAATCCTGACCAAGGGGTTATATTAAATGGGACTAAAATACACCCACACACAGGGTGTGTGTATCTCAGCGAAACTCTGTGTGTATTAGAGATAAGCCTTGAGTCAGGTTTGTTCTGCTGCACTCCAGACCGGTTGAGAAAACAGCTTCCCTCCAACCTTGGACAAAACCCACCCATCTAAACAATCTCATGTTTAAAAAAATTAACCATTTTCTATCAAAATGGTCTGATTAAGCTTAAAACTGCTTTTTGGCTGAAGATGTGCAGTTTTGTGGTCTGCCTGAGAGCAGGGTCACCGCTGGTGGCAGAGGGGCAGTGACACACTTGTCGAAGTCGGTGTTTGATCAGAGAATTTCAGGATGGTTTGGGTTGGAAGGGAYCTCAAAGCCCATCCTATCCAACCCCTGCCATGGGCAGGGACRCCTGCCACTATCCCAGGCTGCTCCAAGCCCTGGTACTCTCCTCTTTCAAATGATCCGTCACAATTCCTAAAAATCAGTAGTGCGCTGTTCAGCCAAGATTAGAGAGCTCTCGTGGATAAAAGCTCTTGTGGTGATTGAGCAGCGTGGCAGATGAAACTCTGCCCCCAGTGAGGGCAGTGGGAGAGCTGCCATCAGCCTCAGCACGGGCTGGACACGGCCCAGCACTGGAGTTATTTGGATCTGGCTGAGTGATGCGCTGATTTCCGGAGCTGAGRGCAATCAGAGCGCGCTGCCTGCCCTCCTGCTCTCACAGCACGCCTCTGTCTGACTGACCACAATCATTTCACATTCGCTGCCATCCAAAATAGCTTTAGAAACAACAACAACAAAATCAGCAAAATTCTCCACAAGGGGAGTGTGTGTGTCCTGCGGAGCCAGGCTTTCCTGCCAGGGATGCTGCAGAACTGGGAGCTGTGTCCTGCTGAACTGTGGGCCAGGATGAAGTGTCAAAGTTTGCATTAATTATTACCTGCCAGGATATATTTTGGCTCTTCCCTAAGCCAGCCTGTGAGATCAGCAGCTAAATGGAGCTCATAAATTATTCCTCAACCAGGCTTTTTAACAGTTTTTCATTTTCCATAGTCTATTAAATAAAGAGATAAAGGGGAACAAAGATGCTTTTGAACAAATTTTGCTGCGGGTAGTAAAAAATAAGCCCAAACTTCCATATTTTATCCTTCACTCTGAAAGGACCGTGATAGAAAATACAATTAGCAGGTATTGTCTTTCACACAGTTACTCTTAGATTACAAAAGCAATGAGCACATATTAAATTTCCCAACTTGTAAGAACTGCTGTAAATATTTACCACTTCCTCTCCACAAGAGAACAGTTTCAGTCATTTCAAGACCCAAACCAGCTTCTTACAAAATGGTTWTAAAAAAGCCAAGAAAAGCAAAACCCAAAGGAATAGACTAAATGAAATTGTTCCAGTTGCTTATATCAATCCTACTGCAGAGAAGAAACAATAATTTTGATATAATACTGCATTTTTTATCCTTACAATCCATCCTTCTGTTTACCTGGGTTGATTTCTGTGGAGCTGCTCTTTTTTGCCCTGCAAATTATTCACTTAAAGCCTTCCAGACTTCCATGTGGCCTTGTGCAACCATACTAGAAAAGAAAGAGAATTGTTTTGAAAGCCTTTTGAAAAAGCATCATTCAGTTTACCTACAGCCCTGCCTTTTTGTGGGATTTTTTTTTTCCAATATAGAGTTCACAAAGCAGGGGTACAAATAATCCAAAATTAGCAGTTGTGGTGATTAWATACATCTGAACCTGGATGGTAATCACTTGACTCCCACACATCCCATCCATCCAATTAACAACAGAGTTTAATATTAAAGTATAGCAGAGCTGGGCTTTTAGCTTCGATTTCCTCTCCTGTTCCAGAGCAAACCCATTTTTCTCTAATTTCACATTTTGGGTTTTGCACTGAATACGCAAAGCCAGCCATCATCTTCTGCACTTTTTACTGTGCATAAACCAGTTCCCAAATTATGACTCTTCTTAGAGTCACCCCTAAAATGAATTTTAAAYAGAGATGGGCAGAAAAGGGAAGAAGGATCTCTTTCTTATCCAGAGAAATACAGCATCTTTGTCTAAGCCAAGGCTTTTCTGACAGAAATCAATACAAAGGATGAGAAATCAAGATGAGGATTTTATTAGCAGAGATGGCCTCCAGAATCACAGGGGAGAGCCTCATGCACGGGCTCTGCCACGACCGCCTCGTGCCCTCGAGCTGTAACAAATTACTCCACAAATTTCTTGGAGGATTTATCCTCCACTGCTCGGAGCTCTGGGGAGCATTTCATCAGTGGCACCGCTGACCTAATAACAGGGGATCTGAGTGATAGCAACTTTTATGGGGGCTGTGTGCTATTCCCACAGATTTGGGGATTGGTTTTCGGGAGGGAGGAGGCGGCGAGGGGTAAATGGGCTTTCATAATAGGTTTACACTTTACTGATTAGCTCTGAATGATCTTCTTGCTCTGCCTGCTGACTCGAGTGCTGTCAGAAAAGGAATTGGCCGAGCTTCATGGTGAGTGAGCRAGACTCCTCCTGAAACAGGGGGGTTCCTGTGCTTTATTTATTCCTTTTGAGCATTCCTGACAGCCAGCCCGGGCTTTGATGCAGA